CCAGGCTGGAGTGCAGTGGTGTGATCTTGGCTCACCACAACCTTCGCCTCCTGGGTTCAAGCAATTCTTATGCCTCAGCCTCCCGAGTAGCTGGGATTACAGGCATGTGCCACCATGTCTGGCTAATTTTGTATTTTTAGTAGAGACAGAGTTTCTCCATGTTGGTCAGGCTGGTCTTGAACTCCCAACCTCAGGTGATCTGCCTGCTTCGGCCTCCCAAAGTGCTGGGGTTACAGGTGTGAGTCACCATGCCCGGTCAAGTATGTATTTTTTGTCATATATCTTCACTGATTCTGTACTTGAATAGCTTAGTGGTCAGCTAATAATTGGACAGAGATTTCCTTAAATACCTGGAATCATTAAGTCTTATAGTCTCTCCCAAGGGACCCTGTGTATGTGTTTGGGCATGTGTCAGCCCTTAACCTACCAGTTTATAACTGCCTTAGTCTTCTTTTTCTGATTGTGCAGAGTCTTAATGTCAGCCCAGTGTGAGAGCTTAGGGCCATCTCAGGGCACTCCAGCTTTTTTCTGGGCATTCACACAACCTTGAGTAGATGCACCATGGCCTTCTGGATTACCAGAAATTTACAGAGTTTTTAATACCCTGTGGACATCTCATTCCCCAGATTTTCCTTTTAAGCTTTTGGGTTAATATATTATTTGTTCCAACTATTGTCCACTGTCTCAGGTAGTCACAAAATTAAACAATTGCCTTTAGTTGTTTTGACAGACACCTCTGTGGAAAATACTTTTCAGTGACCTGTGTGTCAGGTCAAATAAATGTAACCTTGCAAGTGGAACCTGTTAGTCATATCAAATAATAAGACTTCGAAGGGGCTCCAACCCTGTTTTGTCCTCTTCTGTTGTTGCCAGGCTGTTGGTTTTCACTATGATTGTAGGCTGTTTGTTTTCAAGACTACTGTAGAGCTGGGGTAGGGTTAGGGGGCGGGGAATGGGAATAGGATAAGTTAAAATACCACAGAATTTCTGTTCTTGGATATTTAATCATTTTTCTTGAACAAATATTCTCCAGATTGTGGCAACCCTTTGGTTAAATTTCTAGATTTCTGAAAAAACTTGATTTGGACAATTTTTTGCCATTTAAAAATTGCATTTGTGAAAGAAGGGATTTTTGTAAGGTTTTACTTTACTTTTTGTAAGGTTTTACTTTGATATAAGGTTTTTACTTATGTCACACTCTCATGTTTATTCTTAAATGATTTTGTTTCCGTATATTGAATTTAATGTTGGCATTTTTTTTTTCCAGCACATTGGAGATATATTTCCACAGCATCTGGCTTTTCTTGTTCCTGATCTGAAGTCAGTAAATGTAACTGCTGTCTTCTGGAGGTAATCTATTGCCTTAAAGGATTTTCCCATTATCCTTAGGTTTCTATGGTTTCACTAAGTTCAGTGCTCCTGCCTGAGGTATGTTGACTTCCTGTATCTGTGGTGTGATGTCTTTCATAAGCCTGGAAAACTCGCTGCCATTTTCTTCAGATATTCCTTCTGTATCATTTCTTTTCTTTTTTTCTGGAACTCTGATTAAATTTGTGTTAGATTTCTCACCATGTGTTCTCATGCT